GTACCACAAGATACTTACAGAAGCACGTGAATTTTGTGTCGTTGTCAAGTACATGTGTTCAGTGATTTATTCGTTTGAATTGGTGGCTCGTTAGTCGTACGTTCTCGGGGTTGCCGCACATTTAATTATTATAATATTGTATTTTTTATTGTGCAAATGTGCGCATCCTGAGACGGTAGCGTTTGGTTTGAAGCCGCTAACGGACACCAGTTCTCCAGGTAATCAGCTGACGAGCTGTTTTAGTTTATTATTCAATATAATTATTATTATTTTTTTTGTGTGCTAATCAAGCACTTTAATATTATTATTATTACTATATATTTATTCAGCTGGTGGGTGCCAAATAGGCATTCCACACTTGTTATTATTATTTATTTTATTGTACTAAACCAAAGTACCTAACATTATTAAAATTCAATAAATTCAATTATTTGTATCAATATCATTTGGATTATCTATATTAATTCCTTTTGTTAAGTTATAAGGTTGTTAGTGCAATATTTATATTTAACTAACGCCTAGTCGTGAAGGCACCCTTAACGTTTATTATTATATTTATTTTTTGTTAAGAGCCGAACGCGACACATTGTTTTAGATGGTAAAAACTTAGCTATATTTTATTTGATGCATTCATTATTTGTGCCTTCCTCAAGAAAAATTACTAGAGATGACAGTGGAAAAAAATCTTTTGTAAAATATTCCATAAAAGATTCGCAAAATACATTTATTATAGTAGCATCTACTCCCATGGAACTAGAAGTCATCATAGACAAATTGAAAAAACAAGAAAATAATATACAACCATGTATTCTAGTTGTTGGTTCCTTCTTAGACCCAAAACAAATATTAGTTTATTTCGATGATGTTAAATACAAGCTGTTTTCTGTTTGTAAAGCTGTGGATATTTGTTTTAAGCTATTCCACGTTTTTAATCTTGAATATCCATATGAATCAAGTAACGTGTGGTTATTTTTGCAAAATTATTTCTATGAAATTAACACTAAATATGACAGAAGTTGTAGTTTAATAAAGCAAATTTCCTCAGAATTAGATGCAAATTATAATATTTAAAACCATTGTATTATTAAGAGTGTCATAGCCATATTTTAATATTTTTCTGTTACAAACAATATTTATAATTTATAAATACCTGTATATTTTTTTTTATTTTGTAATCGTATACATCATTTAGGTGTAACAGTTTTATATATATATTTTTTTTTTGTTCATCTTGTTTTTTCATTATAAATTTAATTTGTATTAATATTTTCTATACATACTAAAAGCATTTGTTTAAAAAAGATTATAAATAAATAATTATAACTATAATAAATATAGTTAATTTATTTTATATTTTTATTACCTATTAGTCTATGTTCTAGATCTTTGAATTTTACGGGGAATTTTATCATACCCATCATTATTGAACATAAAAGTTGAAGCTGTTTTAATTGTTTTAAGGGAGAAAAAAATGTCTTTCTCAAGCAGAATTTTTTTTTTAAATTTCAGCTTTTGTTTAACCTAAATATCTGCTAATATATAATTGATAAAAACACAAATTTTTATTATTAAAAATTATTTTATTGATTTTACCTATAGTATTATCTTTGGTAACAATAACAAGGAAGTTGGTTAATGTAATAACCAGTTTGGTAATTATTAATAGGGCATGAATTGTAATGTTAACAAAAATTTCATTAATCCTACCTATAAGTTGGCTAGAATAAACTAATAGGGATAATGATTGTTTTAACAAAAATAAATTTGTGACATCAATAAATAGTTTGTAGAACGTATGTTAACAAAGTGCTTGTTGGTTTAATCTAACTTATTTTAAATTTTACTTAGATATTTCTCTGGGTGTGTTAGACAGAGAAAGAAAATCGCCGCTTCCAATCCCCTTAAGAATATTGTTGAACATTGCATGAAGTACAGAAATAATAATTCAAAAGAACCTTTAATACCACCCGATATACCTGATAATACCTTGGTTTAAATTAGAGACAGATATAAGCTTGAGTCGGACCACCGTATTTGTGTGTCTAGCAAGTCAGTCACGTCAGTTGAAAATCGATTAAAATAAAATTCAAACATCTAAGTAAGCCATCCGACTGCGTCGCATAGCCGACGATATGGGTTTGCATTGGTCTCTAGGTGTAACTCGCTCCGTCAGAAATGAAGGCCTCTGTGCTATTCACTGATGGTGAATACCGATATCTGGACATCACCCACGTACATGGAGATCGGTGATTGCAGACTTGATAGTTAAGACGGTCCAGTCTTGTGATTTTATGAAATTCAAAAATCGTAAATCTTAAAGATTTATTTCAATGTCTTGCAAGTCAGTCTCGTCAAGTGGAAATCGATTCACGTTCAACTTAGTCATCTAGGTAGGCAATCCGATTATGTCGGATAGCGGACAATGCGGGCCTGCATGTCATTTATGCGGACACAGTGGTCGGCATGCTAGAAGTGAGAATTGTATTTGCAAAAGCCTATTTAAGGACATTATACATTAGCCCGGTAGGATCAAATTCGCTTCCTGCGCTGATTCTTACAATTCAAATTCAAAAAAACCCTGGATCCACTATGTAAAACCTTCTAGGCTAGGTGTCGACTTAACGATACTTATTAATTCTGATTTCACATTTTGTGAGTTTAACTGACTACTATACTACATCAGTATACTATTATATTATGAGTTAACAACATTGGCCTACTCACCTTATTTGCCCTTATATACATTAACATATAATTAGGGGATTACTTTGGAGGAAATAGTGACAGTGGTTATAAATACAGGCTGACTCGATCGATATGGACAAACGTTTAACTTCAATTCTATTCGACAATTGAATATCTAACTACCAACATGAGCAACCAATGGTGACACCGAGTAGCTATTCTATAGGATAACCTTGTGACTCCCGAGTACAAAACCAAAATATCATGTAATTTAGTGAATTTAAAAAAAAGAAACATGTATAAATGCATAATATGTATAGTATACGTATGTAAAATAAAAGGTAATTACAGTGCTTTTCAGTAGATGTTGTTACATTAGCGGCCCAATTGTTGCAAGAATAGAAGGATGGGATTAAGAAGTAAGTATGTGGTAGGAATTAAGAGGGATATTTAGAGAGTGGAGAAAGGAAAAAAGATGTAGACGCTCTGCGTGCATGGCAGGGCAATTAAATAAGATATGATTAAAGTCACAGATAGCTTAATTTGATTTAATAATCATAATTAAAGTAATTTACATGAAGTTAGTATGTGTTATTATTACAGACACAGAATTTAGAATTTTTTGAACGTAGAATTTAGTTACAGCAGTTCCCACAGTATACCTCAATGTAGATATGCAGATTGTGTAAAAAGAAAAGCTTTGAATATCAATTAATATATTATGTTTTATTTATTATAATGATTTTTTTATATCAACATAATGGAGTTAACATTAAATGAAAATTCAATAATAATAACACACAACAGCATAGTGTGTAGGCAAGGGCGTCCGCAGGAATTTGTCAAGGGGGGGGGGCAAGGTATTTTAATTTTTAATTTTTGTTTTATTTTCTGATTAGTGATAAAGTACCTAATTGTTTTTGGCGTGTTTTCCATCATATAAGTAGGGAACTCAAAAATTAAATTATTAATAATGTGTATAGTTAGAACGTTAGAAGCGAATCTTACAGTATTAGTTTTAATTAATTAATGAACAACTTTAAATTAACAAATAAATTTTTTTTATATACATAAAATGTAGTCACTGATTTGATAATTTTAGGTTACTTATAAAATTAAATGTGTCCAACTTCTATAAAATAAATAAATAACTACCAATTATCAAACCATTTGGAAATAACTTTTTTTTTAAATTAAAAACAAACATAGCTTATACTGCTTAGAACTATAATATAAATAAATAATATTATAGTAAATAACCTTGACTAAAATAAATTATTACACAAATATGTATTCATACATATTAAGCTATATAAATTATAACTTTTAAATTTTAATATTCTAAAATAAAATATTTATATTCTATAAGCTTATAACATAATTTATTAGGTATATAAAAAAAATAACATCAATCATCATACAGATCAAACTTAATATACATTATACAATATACATTATACATTCTATGTATTACCTCACACAACTTGGGGTTCTCAGAAAAAAATAATATACAAATATTAACAAATAATTATAAATAATAACTGTTCAATCATTGAATAATAGTTCCATTCTGCGTGGTAGTAAACCAAATTCATTTATAATTTCTTCAATCAATTCTAATTTATGACTTTTGACAAACTCTTTATGGACAACCATCATGCATAAACCATTAAGTCGATTATCACCAATAGTATTTCTTGTCCAAGTTTTTACTCTACGCAATGTACTAAAAGTTCTTTCTACTGAACAAGTAGTAACTGGTAGAGTTAATGCAATAGTTAGAACAATATGAATTGCTGGATATAAATTTGCTTCATCTAATAGACTTATGAAACTTATGTTTTTCATTTCACTTTGACTTGTGTTTCTATTTTTCCACACATTATACCATAACATACACTCCTCAACCAAATTATCAATTGCATAAAAATTATTTATTTCTACTACCATGTTTTTAAATTCATCATGCTGCATTTTTTTCATATTATTCGGATGTAAATTTAATAAGGAATGAGCAGCACTGTTTTCATTAGAAAATCTTAGCTTTAATTGCATTATTAAGGAATCTACATATGGTTGGTATAAGGAAACTCTAAAATAATCTTCAGGAGTATTTATTGGATGATTTGAACGATGCTTTTGGTTAGAAACAATACGAGGAATTTTAATTTCTTCTCCAAGCTCATTTGCAACATTTTTAGCTTTTTTAAAAATCTCATGAAAATAATTATTCGCATCCAGGTTGTTAAAAACTTCAATGATTTCACTAATATATTTTCGAGCTTGAGATAAATCTAACTGTACTGCTTGTAATGCATTTGTTATAGGTTCTAGTTGAGCAGAAAATGTTGCCATTATAAATAAACACACTAAAAAATTTGATTTAGTTGCTGCACTATGTAACTGAAATGCTTGACTTTTTGTTTGTGAATCAACGCCTGTTTCCATAGATATTATTTCTAATTGTTCTACTATCCCAATAAAATGTTCGCTAAAAATTCTTATAGTTTTATATTTTTCCGACCATCTAGTCTCACAAAATAAAGGAATGTTTTCTATTCTTTTTCTTCTTTTAGGACTTAACCTAAAAAATTTAATAATTGACCTGATACTTCCAGCACAGTTTTGAACATGCTGAAGTTTATTCAAATCATTTATTACTAAATTTAGTCTATGTGATGAACAATGTACAAATACAGCTTTAGGAAATTCATTTTTAATAATTGCTTGAACACCATTATGAATACCTGACATAGCACTACAGCCATCGTATCCTTGTCCTACTAAATTGTTTAAATTAAGACCACAGTTTCTCAAAAAATGTATTATAGATTTTACTACAATTTTAGCATGCATATCTGTTAAAGCAACAAAACCTAAAAATTCTTCTTTGACTACAGGGTTTTCTGATTCAAATGAGATGTATCTTATGCCTATAGATAACTGTTCTGTACCAGAAATATCAGCAGTCTCATCAGCGAGAATAGAAAAAAATGATTGTGATTTCACTAAATAGTTTGTTATTCTGCTTAAGATTATTTTTCCTGTAATATCAATTATTTCATTTTGAACTCTAGCTGAAATATATTTGGAATTTTTGGGGCTTGATTCTAAATGACTTTGTAAAATTTTATCACCACTTTCAATTCTAAAATTAATTAAAGAATTAAAATTTCCATCATTTGATGTTTTTCCACGCAAAGCAATTTCTTGAGTGCCACAAAACAGTATACTTGAAATAATAGGCACAATTTTTTTCCTATTATTATCAATCAGTAACTTATGAGAAGTGTTAATTTTATCAAAAACAGTAATAGCTTTGTTAGAAAAGACCTTAATGAAATTAACAGCATTTTCTGTGCATTGTAAGTGTGTCTTAGAAACTTTATGTTCGCATGCTTTTTTGTGAAAATCTTTATACTTAATACATGGTTTTTTTACAAACTGAATTTGTTTATAAGAATTACCATGACAACTAGATGAATGAAATAGAACACAGAATACACAAAATGGACCTTTC